GTGACTGTTCCTAAGTGCTTCAAAAACTCTTATTCTTCTAGTTTTTTTCCTCGAACATCAGTTCTTTGGAATTCGCTTCCTTCATCTTGCTTTCCTGATTCATATAATTTGCAATCTTTTAAGTCATCAGTCAATCGTTATCTTGCTCTACAGATTTAGTCTTTTCTCTTCCAGTAACTTCCAACTCTTATAGTGGTTGCTTGCAGCCTTGTTGAAAGTGAAGATGTTAAAAAAAAAAAAAAAAAAAAACTTCTCCTTTTTTATAAGAAAAGAAAAATTTTCAATTTGTTTTCGAATATTATAATCTATGATAATCTATGATGAAGAGACTTAAGTTTTGCATGATGAATTAATTAGTAGACAATAAGAAAAACTTCTTTCATAAAAATTGCAAAACTATTTACATTCATTTAAAACTAAATTTTACATTCAATATTTTACTATTGAACATTTTACTATTTTACATTCCCTCAAAACTAAATTAAAATTTTTAAAATGAAATTTAACATAAAGTCTTTTAAAAATAATTTTTTTTTTTTAATAAAACAGTTTTGTTTTTTTAAAAAACTCTAATCCTTAAAAATATAACTGTAAAAAAATAAAAATAAAATAGTATTTTGTTTAAGCAATAAAACATTTTAGTTTTTATTTAGGAAGTATTTTAAATACGTTTAACACTCGTTCAATTTTCTTCTGTTTTAATTATAGAAAATGCAGAAAGCAAACTTCGACATTTTCAAAATTTATTATTATTTCACATAGTTACTTTTCTTTTCATAATATTCTAATATTATAAAAATAAAAGTAACTATGTGAAATAATAATAAACAATAAAAGAAAAGTAACTATGTGAAATAATATATATTATAAAAATATAGTATTCTTGAGTGTACATCTCAGATATATATATTTACATGCTTGGCCAGGAAGGTGTGCGATTTCACGCCATATTATGACCGCATAAATACTATTTAATTTTAAAAACTTTGTGTTTTAAAATTTGCTTAATTTTTAAAAATGCGCTAAAAAAAAAAAAAAAAAAAAAATTTTAACCATAAGGAAACTTAAAAAAAAACTTATATTAAAAAAAGCGAAAAAATATTCGTTAAAAAAATAAAGAAAAATGAAATAAAAATATCTCAAGTAAAACTAAAATCAAAAAATAAAGTTGAAACTTGACTAAAATAATCAATAACCTCTATGATGAGATTATTTAAAATATGTTTGGAATGAATAACTTTGTTTATCTTTATTTATGTTTTTATAATACAATATTATGCAAAATTCTTAAATAAAGTAACAACTTAGTCTAACGATTGTTTAATAAATATTTATATTTGAAAGTTAAAAAAAAGATTCTTAACAATTTTTCTCAGTAATGTAAACAAAGAATAAATAATTAAATCGTTTATTTAAAAAGTTTATATAATTTTTTTATTTAAAGTCGCTTACAATAAAAAATACATATTTATCATTAGTTACTTTATTTAAAAGTGTTTTGCTGATATAAAAACATTAGTAAATATAAACGTGTCAAAGTTATTTATTTTTATCGTAATTAAAAACCAATTTTTTAGCGCATTTTTAAAAAGTTGAAAAATGTGGTGTAAAAAAAAAATTGTCAAAAAAAAATAATTTATGTGGTCATAAAAAGGCTTGTTTTTGCACGCCTTCCTGGCCTAGCCTATATATATATATATATATATATATATATATATATATATATATATATATATATATATATATATATATATATATATAATATATATATATATATATATATATATATATATAAATATATATATATATATATATATATATATATATATATATATATATATATATATATATATATATATATATATATATATATATATATATATATATATTATATATATATTATATATATATTATATATATATATATATATATATATATATATATATATATATATATATATATATATATATATATATATATATATATATATATATATATATATATATATAAGAAAAAACAAAGATAAAAACAACAAACAAATTATTTAAACTATTATTATTGTTTTCTATTTAAGTTTATTTTAATTTCTTATGCAGTTATTAAATTTAAAACAATTTTTCAGTTACGCATATAATATTTTTTTTTTTTTTTTTTTAACATCTTCACTTCCAACAAGGCTGCAAGCAACCACTATAAGAGTTGGAAGTTACTGGAAGAGAAAAGACTAAATCTGTAGAGCAAGATAACGATTGACTGATGACTTAAAAGATTGCAAATTATATGAATCAGGAAAGCAAGATGAAGGAAGCGAATTCCAAAGAACTGATGTTCGAGGAAAAAAACTAGAAGAATAAGAGTTTTTGAAGCACTTAGGAACAGTCACAGAAAAAGGATGAGACTTAATTGAATGGCGAGTAACACGAGAATGAATTTTAGTAGATGGCACAAGGGACGCTAGCTCTTTAGAGCAGTGCCCATTATAGTATTTGTAGAAAAGAGAAAGAGAAGCAACATTACGACGATGTGACAAAGGTTGGAGATTGGCTGCCAGAGCAGGTCCAACTATGTTTACAATTCGTTTTTGCACCTTGTCTAAAAGAGAAAGAGCATCATTAGAAGATCCGCCCCAGATGTGGCAACAGTATTCCATACAGGGACGGATTTGAGATTTATAGAGATAGAGAATAGAATCTGGAGTAAAAAAGTGTCGAGCTCGATAAAGAGATGCAACCTTAGCAGATGCTAATTTTGCAATGGATTTGATATACGGTTTAAAAGAAAGATCAGAAGTAAGAGTTAATCCTAGAAGATGAATGGTAGATGACTCATCTAGTACATTACCATTCATAAATATAGGAAGATCTAAATTATTACGATAACGATTGGCCGAATAAAATTGAGTTTTATCTGAATTAAAGTTCACCAGCCACTGTGAGCCCCATGCTGTAGCAGAAGTGAGATCCTTTTCAAGCTCAGATACCCCCTACAAGCAATCAGAGAGTGTAGGCTTCTTTTCATGACAAGAGTAAATGGTACTGTCGTCAGCGAATAATGCCACCTTAGATGTGAGAATATCTGGAAGATCGTTAATGTAAATTAAAAAGAGTATAGGGCCAAGGATTGAACCTTGAGGAACCCCTGAAGTTACAGGATGTGAAGAAGAGTGTTGTCCATCGAGGACAACTTTTATACTACGATTGGAAAGAAAGGACTCAATAATCTTAAAGACGTTACCAGCTACACCATAAGAAGTAAGCTTATGGAGAAGACCAGCATGCCAAACTTTATCAAAAGCTTTAGAAATGTCAAGTGCGATAGCCTTAACCTCTCCACCTCTATCTAATGCACGGTAAAACCTATCGGTTATTACTGTTAGCACATCAGCTGTAGAACGAGAAGACCGAAATCCATATTGATGATCAGAAAGTAAGTTATTTGATTCAAGATGAGAGATTAAGTGTTTTTTGATTAAAGATTCAAAAACCTTGCTTATGACAGGAAGAAGACTAATGGGACGGTAGTTAGATGAATCAGATCGCTCTCCGGAATTTTTGAAAATAGGGATAACAGATGCTGCTTTCCAGCATGATGGAAAACAAGACTCTGATAAGCACTTGTTAAATAGTTTAGAAAGTATGGATGAAAGCTCCGGAGAACACCTCTGCAAGCCTACAACAGGAATGTTGTCAGGACCACAAGCTGTTGAAGAGTCTAAGCAGGAAATTACTTTAGATACAGAAGCTGAAGTGATGCGAATGTCAAGCAAGGGATCAACCTGTTTGACGGCTATGTCAGGTAAAACGCAACTGGTGGAATCAAGAGATGATATTGATGAAAAGTTCTTAGCAAACAATTCAGCTT